ACCAATTCGGTCCCCTTAGTTCATGGTCACAAAACCATCTTTCTTCTCCTGCAGCCTGTTTCACAGTCCACTGAAGACAACAGAAATCCAAACCATGCTCTTCAGTGAGATTTGGATTATCCCTGGTATTATTCTTGCTTGGATCCCTTCATTCTGCTACAGCAAAACTGCCCTGGTAGTTTGCAGGAAAGTACAGACAGCAAAATCTGACTTCAGGAAAGCATCTCCCCTTCCTTAGCTAGCAGTGTCCCCACACTATTTTGAGGCAAGTGCCACCTGCATAAACAAGAAAAGAAGACAGCCAAGTCTATGAGCTGCCTACCCATAAACCTGTGCCTGCTCTGCACTTTGTTTCTAACAACAGGCACAGGTTCTGCTACTAACACAACGGTTTGCCCGACCTTTCCCTTTAAGCAGAGGTTTCACTGAACCAGAATTTCAATTTGCTGTACATAAGGCTCACACAATGGGGAGCTTTCATTTTACTTTGCTATGAGCAGTGTGGGCCAGTCACAAGATCAGAGTTTGCCATTGTGGGCAGCCTCTGAATGTGGATAGGCATGAAGAGAAGCCGGCACAAGAAGCTGCATTCTGGGCAGCAGGTAAAGAAAAGGGCATTATTGTCTGAGAACAGGGAGAGCAGCACCCACCTAAGTGAACTGCCAAAGTCCGTGAGCAGTGCTGTATGCTTCACAAATTGTTTACCCTCCTAACAAAACAGCTTACGAATGAAAACAGTCTCCCCAGACAGAGCAGCACTCTGTGAGGCACTCTGGAAATCAGTCCTACTCAGGAGAGTGGAAAAGGCAAACACACATCCTTCCCATTTTTGCTCAGTCCCACCAGTGCTGTTTGGTTTGGTATTTAGTACCATAATTAGTAAATCCCACTGATTCCCCATGAGAAGGCAGTCTGACACCGCTCAGAGGTCTGGAGCAGCGTGAAGGGGAGCAAATTTCTTCAGAAATTCCCCTACCTTATACATCTCACCTGAGCATTTCTTCTGGTGCCACAGAAATCTCCCCAAGTTCCCAAGCAGACAGGGAGCCCTGGCAGCAGAAGCAAATGAAGAAAAGGATCAAATATTTGCAGACAAGTATTATAACAAAGGGAGAACCCTGGAAAGAATAATTCTAAAATCTGAAGTTGGGACTGTTACCGACCGGAATATTTTCCATTGTTTTCAAGGAGGCAGCAGCTTGTCTTTTCTGTGAAGAAGTTAATAGATTACTGGGCAGTGAATAATGTGCAGGTCTATTTACATCCACTGTTTGGACTATTTTGGTCCTTCAGATAATGTATCTGTTCTCAGGCCTTTCTAAGAGCAGCATGCTACACTTTTTTGCAAGCAATTCTGGATAGCAGCTACGGCCAATATGCTTCAGTCAGCTGCAAACTAGATAGATCATTGTTTGCCTGGAATTTTTTTTATTAAACCAATTGTACTGGATCAATGCTTTCTCTAAGCAATAAATTACAATTCTATCTACCCAGTGAAAAAGCTTTCAAAGTTGCAGATAAATCTTGATCTAGGAAATACAGTTTGGCTCTGCACCGATGTGCAGTCAACCACAGATGCAAATAAACTGAGGCTGCTAGCACATCCGTCTGCACCTCAGAGCAGGAGCTAGTATTCTTATTTTCATTAGAAATTGCTAAAACATCTTTTAAGTGCTTCCAGAACTAGTCCACTGCATTAGTCATGAGTACTCAGGGGCACTCAGTTTGGTTTTTATAAAGGTCATTCGGTGTCTTTTCCCCTCACAATGGACTAAAAGCAGAAATCAACAGAGTCTTAATCTATATTAATTTGCTTTACTCTTGGAGGGTCATAGATTTGCCACTGGAATTAGCCGCATTAGATGCTAAAACGATAATTTAATGAGACTATGATGAAAGCCTCTGTTCTATTCTAAAACGGCAACTCCTCTCACATAGCGCAGAGAAGCAACTCCATGAAGTCAGAGGAATTACACCAATGCCATTTCGCAGCAGAATCCAGCCCAAGTAATTAGGGCTGGAGTGTTCCATTCAAAACTTCAGATCTTGAGCTGTACTGAGACAGCTCCAAGTTATGAGGTCTGGAGCTCTACCAAAACGCCTAGAGATGCACCTCACTCTCAGAGGTGAAACTGTTTTCCCAAATAAGGCAGAAAACAAGATCAGGGTCTAAATATTTACTAACTTGAAACTTCTACACTAAATGCTGCTGCACAGCTTTGGTGATGGCAAAGTGCAGGATAATGAAGACTCATGCCTCTTACAAGATCCTAATGCTCCAGAATCTTCACCCATCTATAACAAGGAGCAATCGCGCATTGCACTGCGTAATTTGCAAAGAAGAAAATACAGTCCTTTGGGTCAGAGATATAGCTCTCGCAAATATTTTTATAATATCTGCTCTTTGGTACAATCTGCTGTTTTTCAGAGGTCAAAAAATGTTATTCATATTCATGTGAGTCATTTCCAAGACAGATGCTTTAGCAGCATTCAGAGAGGGAATACAAAACCCGAAGAGAATCTGGGAAAGCTCCCACTCTTCTCCTTCAAGGCAGCCATTGTTCACAGGTCATTTTTCATGGAAGTCCACACATTTTCTCTAAGCGACATTTATATTCAAACAGATATGCTGCAAGTGACCTAGAAACAGGGGTGAACAAAGTTCCCCAGAAGATACACATACTGACCATACAGTAATGTCTCCAACTCCTCCCCGTCTCTCCAGATGTCTCTCTGTACAATCAGTACCACTGCCCCATCTGATGTTGATATACGATAGCAAGGAGAAAGCACATACCTATGTGCTAGGCTTCTAGCGGCATTTAGAAGAAACCCAAAGCGGCACAATACCAGCCTACCTGGAATCTGACCCCAAGCAGAGAGCGTCTTGCACCAGGGCACAGATATCCAACTCACTTGCTTTCTCTGCACAAATGCAAAGCTATGTCAGGGGAGTATTATTATTATTAATACTAACGAGTCATACATGCATTCATATATATATCTGCATGCACACGAACATCTGAGCGTTAGCAGACTCAGTCTGATCATTTAGCTTGGGAGAGTCTAAGCTTGCCTGCATATTTCATTCCTTTGTGTACGGCTAGGAGTGGCCCTACAGCCAAGCACCTCAGAAATAAAAATTTACCTCATAATTTACTGTGCCATTCTGAGGAATAAGCACTGGTTCACTAAGAATCTTACAAAAATAAACTCTTAGGACCATCTCATCATAGGCAAGACTCAGCTACTGTTACAATCCTTTTGCTTAAGTTTGCCAGTCTGGTTCTATGCTGAAAATGTAGTTATAAAGATGGAAGGGAATAAATCCACTATACAGATAAATAAAAGATATGCAAACTGAACACTACTTTTGCATAAATCCAAATACAATCCCTACTAAATCCAAAATACCATGAGGATGCAACACACAGAGAACACCTTGCTAGAATAACCCAAGAAAGCACAGTAGCTAGTTTTTAACTCCAGACTTGTGGCAAAATACAAAGATCTATAGCCAAGAGTATGAAATTCATTTTGTTCCTTTTAAAGCAAATCACTCTCACATTTCACTGTGTTTGTGAGGTACTACTTGATCAGTCACAACTGGGAGGCAATTTTATATGGTTTCCCATCTGGGTTTGAGTAAGATTCTATTTGCAAGGACTATGTATCATGACGTAACTACTGGAAACCCTCAGACGCTTGGTCAGCTGTGAGCTTGGGACACTCGAATGCGCTGAATTTAAACAACAGTGCAGTCTTCCAACTCATGCAGCCTTCTAATAACATTTGTTAATCCAAGCAAATATCAAGGAATCTGTTCAGTGCCAGTGCTGAATCCTCTAAGCATGTGGACTGTTTGCTAAATCTCTAAAAGGCAGTGTCAAGAGGTTTCTGTCATTTCTGTCTTTGAGCACCCAAATCCACCCTGGAACGCCTTCCTGCTATTATCTTGCTAACTGTATTTCAGGTAATAATGCAAGGTTCCTCGAAGAGTCCAAGAATTCAATAAAATCACATAGATTGATAGATGTGTTTGAATAATGCTCTTCTACTGTCTGCTCTTAAACGTGAGATGTAAGCCAGTTGTAATTAAAGTTGAAGCAATAAACCTTAGGCATTGATTGCACTAAGTAATTAATTATTGATTGCAGAACTTTACATACATATTGCAGAGGACAATTCACCTGTGCAACAGACAACACTTTACTCAGAAATACCCAAACACAAACCCTCTGCTAAACAGAACTACAAAAATAACGGCTTTAGGGTTTCCAAGTTAATTTTCTTATTAACCTTCATGGAAACGTTGCTGTCCAAGTGAAAGAAAGCCATTCCTTTCATAAAGACAATATTAACTATTCCCTATCCAAATTAATTTTGCAAATAAGGATCTACAGATGGAAAAGAGAACATCTTTCTCTGTAAGACTCTGAAGGTGTTAAGTTCCTTCTTAATGAATGCTGCTATCCCCTGCACATACCAGTTCCTGACAAGCAGTGCTGCAGTAAGAAGCCCTACAGAACAGCAACAGTAGCAACATCCTTCTCCAACTCTTGGGGAAGAAGAGAGAGGACTTTGAAGTTCGAAAATGGGAACTGAAACGTGAATCAGGCAAACCATCCGTTCTGAGCTGGAGATGTAGGACTAGTTAGGCAGCTGACACCACGCTTTTAGTCTAGAGTTGTGCATCAGGTGGGACCATTTTTCCCCATTTACACTGAACTTACAGAGAGGCGTTCCCTTATAAAAAGCCAAAACGAAAGATATTTGTTGGTTTTAAAATGCAATTTAAAATTAGTAACAGTGTGGGTACACTAAATTAAGTTTAAATATAAATGAAACCTGCAGATTTTTGACTGGAGTGCATCTTGGAAGTGACCTCCAGCTCCTCTGACTAGAGAGCAAGGAAAGTTAGGTCTGGGTGTGTGCGCTGTGGCAGGGGAGGGGAGGGGGCAGGCCGGCTGGTTCTGAGCGGGCGAGGAGGGGGACTGTACCTGAAGTCGCTGTAGGGATGGATGATCCAGAACCCGGCAGACTTAACCCTTTCCTGCTCCCTCTCCACGGCCTTCTGGCTGCCAAACATCCTCAAGGAGAATTTGTTGACCCCCGGCTGGAGCATGGCCCCGAACTGCCTCTGCATGAAACCGGCCTGGCCCAGCCTCTGCTCCTCATCTGGGGTGATCTGGTCGCACCCTCCGCCTCCTTCCACCTTGATGGAGGTAGAGGAGCAAGCCCGGGGGGGCTGCTGCTGCTGGGGCTCCGGGGGGGACGCTGGCGGGGGGGGCGCTGGCAGTCCCTGCTCCAGCTCCCCACTGCCGGGGGGGCTCTTGTCCTCACTGGGGGAGGCCGGTTCCCCTTCGCCGCCGATCAGCCTCTTCTCCTCGGCCGCGTCGTGCAGGTGCCTGCTGGCCAGCGAGGACAGGCTCCCTTTGAAGCGGCGGCAGTCCCCGTTGGTGCTGGTCTTGGCGCCCTTGCCGCCTGCCTCCGTCTCCAGGAGGCCGGGGTCCCCCCCTCTGCCGGGGTCCCCCCCGAGTGCCCGGGTGCTCCCAGCAGAGGGCGAAGGCAGGGGCTTCAGCCTGATGCTTTTCCTCCGGGTGTCCTTGTCGCTGTCTTCCTCCTCGTCCATGATCGACGCCTTGGCTCCTATCTGCTGGGGCAGGCTGTAGAGCCTCTTGCGCATGGAGGGGGGCAGCTTGTCCATGGCCGCGACTGCTGCTGCTGCTGCTGCTCAGTTAGAGGGAGAGATCCCCCCGCTCTGCCCGGGGACGGGAACCGTCACTGTCCCCGGGCCCCTGCCCCCAGCTCAAGGGGCAGAAGGGACCAGAGGCTGGCGTGTCATCTCCTTACCGGAGTGTGGCATCCACAGGCTCTGCATCAAAAGACAGGCTCTGCATCCAGAAGGGGAAAGAAAAAAAAAAAAAGAAAAAAAAAAAGGAAAGGCAATAAAGCCCCCCTCTCCTCCGGTGTCTCGATTTGGCTACTTGCTGCTTGTCTCCCCTAGGTGAGTGTTACTACAATCCCTGTCTGCTCGGATCCAGAGCACTGGGCAAGAAGTCTAGAGGAGAGCCACACACTTCTGGCTGGAAGGCGAGGGAGGGCGGCAGCAGCAGCAGCAGCCGCCTTGCCATGTTGGCTTCGAGATGCAAATGTGCCGTGTCTCCCGGCGGGCAGACATCATCCGGAAAGCCAAGCTCAAGCCCGGGTGCCTCAAACTCCTCAACCTGCCGGCCAATAACACAATGAACTGCAACCTGCAGCAGCCACTGCTTGCTTACATCACTGTCATCACTTATTCCTCATGCAGCCCCTGCTCCTGGGAATATTCATGAAGCGATCCCTTTCTATTGGGTTGCCATAGGAGCGACTACTGCACATAGGCTCTGCCTACCTGAGCCAGCACCCGGGCTTCTTAAAAGGGCAACGCCTGCCTGCCGAGGGGGTGTGCGGCTGAACCGCCGCCGCAGCGCTGCCGCCGCCGGGCTGCGGGGATCGCCCGGTCCCGAGGACCACCTCGCCCCGAGGACGGGCCGGCCCCGGCGCTCGAAGCTCCTGCACCCGCGACGCGGCTTTAGCTGACCGTGCCAGGCTTAATGCCATCCTTGGTTTAACGGCAAAAATTACCGTGAATTTAAAAATAGCAGCATCATAAACATGAGGAAAAAAAAAAAAGAAAAACCCACACCAAACCCCCACAACAACCCAGGAGCAAGAAGATTCCTCTTTCTCTTAGATGCCTTCCCCTTCTGGAGTTGTGGGTGCTTTCTTGCAGGTTTACTTGTGAAGACACAGGGAGTTTCGTGGGAAGGGGCAGATCCAAATCTAAAGAAAAAACAGCGGTTCACCTTGAAAATCTCACCTGCATGCAAAGCAGGGTCTTGGGGAGTGTCTGTCGTTCCTAGCAGAAGTTTGCCTGCTGGGAAACACGTTTTGTACCTGTCTGCAAACTGCCGAAGGTTTGGAAGGTTTGGGTTTTTTTTTTCCTTTGCTGCCTTGCTTCCCCGTTAGACATGCCAGACCTTACTATTTCTCCTCAGCGGGGTTGGAGCTATAGAAATCATTCAAAAAAAAAAAAAAAAAAAGGCTGGACAGTGGTGGCGAGGGAGTGTGTGGGATGCGAGGGCTCTCCCCGACACATGGGGAAACCCACTTCCCAGTGGGCACCTGAGTCAGCACTTTCTGCGGCTCCCCCTCGACTAGCGGGTCTCCCAGGAGGTTGGTCCTGGGAAAACAACAGCTCCGGATGGGAATCCTTCTTCCTTTCATTGCTTGCTGCAATGCACCTCATATAAGAGGCCAAAGCAGGGGAAAAAATGGCTAAAATCGGGCATTTCCCTACCTTTTGTTCTTTCAGAGGTTTTTTGGAGAAAAGGAGGAAAAGAGGTGGCAATCAGTCCTGCCCTGTGCTTCTTTGGGAATGGCTGTTTATTCTGTCACGTTCAGGAAGCTCTTAGATTGATACACTGGTTCAAATTGTTTCCTAGTGTAAAGCCCTTCAAAACCAGTTGAGTTATATTAAGAATCTGTTTAGCCATATGAGATCCTGTTTGCATATATTTTTGCAGAGATTCCCTGTCTGAAGCTTTCTAGAATGTTTGCTGGTTTATACATATAAAATCATACCTCCTAGGAAAAGGAAACCACGTGAACTGTGCAGACAGGCAGGGATGCTAAACACAGGCTACAAATGCCCACTGCAAGCAGTGAGGAAGTCCTCAGCCGATCTCTGCGCTTCTTTCTCAGCTTATTTCATAAGCAAATAGTCACCTTTTCCCTTCCAGGAGTCACCTGTCTCTTGCCTAAGGTAACTCTGTCATTTAAAGCAGCAGGATGATACTTAAGCTCTTACTTGAAGGTAATGTAGGCACCAGCAGTGACTTCACCATACACACAGACAGCACATGCTTCCTCATCTTTGTTTGGCTGCTCTCTTGCTCGCTCTCCCAAATCCTTTCTCTGAGGACTCACCTGCTCCTCTTCTCCCACCTCCTGGCACAACCTAGAATGGCTGTGACTCATTTGAAATACGCTACAGTGAAGCAACCCAGTGCAAATATTATTTAATATTGTTATTTTCATCACAATTTCTGGTAGATCAAGCTTTTCTAGGGAAATAAATCTCAGTTTTCAAATGATTCTGTAGATTAGATAACGTAAACTGAGCCACTGATAACATTAAAGGTCTTTCTCCTCTTCTTCTTCCCTCCTCCAGGCACTAGGGATGCTGAGGTGTAAGCACTTCTGTGCCTAAGCTGCAATCAACTGCCTTCCAAAAGGATGTGTTTTGATTAATGAGGTGCATAACATCTGAAACTGATGCAGCTTCTTAAACACAGTCCCTGATGTTCCCAGAGAATGACAGAGCAATAAAGGATGTGCTCAAGGAACCAAGCTGTTTGTCCTCTTTCAGCCATAGGTATTTTAGCTGCCCCCAGAAAATACCCACACTCCTTATTTCCTGGCCTGATTGTTCTCTGAGTGCTGCCTTATTCCGTGACACAAATAAGATTCTCTTACAGACTTGAAGTAGGGGAAGAACACAACAGAGCATCCAAGCAGCAGAACGTCCCTTTACCGCTTCTGTAGCCAGGAAAGAAATTATCAGGTGCAAAGACTGAGTCAGGCTGACTGGCACACTGCTGCACAATTACAGAGCATGCAGATATCCCCGTGCCCAGAACTCTGGCTAGCACTTCCCAGCCACCGTGTCCACTCTATAGACGATGCATATGATTCCTCAGATGCAGAGAAGATTTTTAAGTTCTTGTTCTGGGACCATGTTTGTCACCCTTATCCATCTATAAAGCATTAGGCTTCACTTCAGTATCACACCTGCTTTGAAGCAATTTTTTAAGCACATCACTTCAGCAAATACTGTAGTCCCATTTACGGGGGGGAAGCTTAACCTAAAGCTTAACCTGAAATAAGAATCTCAGTGCTTTATCAAATCTAGGCCTTGTCTAGCAGATAGCCCAAAGCAGGTAGCCCAAAGTGCTAAAAAAAACCAGAAGGTGCATTCTTGTGTCGCTCTGCCTCCAAGTGTGGCTTGCTAAACACTTCTAAAAAATTGGGTAGGAGTTATAGGTACCGAACTCAGACAAAGTTTTAAAGTCCTTAAAATGTAATGGCAATTTTGTGTCCAGAGAACTTCAAAGTAATGATATTTTATTTGAGAGCCTTCCAAGAACTAAGTGCAGGAGGCTGGGAATTATCCTTGTCTAATGGTATGAAACTACTATCATGGACATTATTTATTGTCAGCATTATGGCAGTGCTTTCCATGTCAGCAAACAGACCTTTATAGGCAGATTTTTAGAACCTTTCAGAAAAGCTAGGACTCTTGTAGGACTAAGTCTTGCCTATCATTGCCTGCACAGTACATTCAAAAGGGGTATAGAGAACCCACCTGCCAGGAAAAGGGAGAACTGTTTTTGAGGGAAATGATCTCCTTTTAACAGTATTTGTCAGATACTGCTCCAAGACTTGGCACAGATACAAAGAGAATGAATTTAGTAGGGAGAATGCAGGTGAAGCAGCCGTTTCTTAGGTAATTTTGCCAGCTCATATATACATATATATATGTACATCTCTATGTGGTGCTATTTTAATAAAAATCCAGTGCTGCAATGCAAATGTGAAAAATCACATTCCAAATGAGCTCAGAACTATAGAAGAATAGACTGAGAGCCATAAAAACTGATACCCTCTAGCTCAGGGTACAGAAAGCAGCAGTGCAAGCTTTCTGCACGCTGGGCTGTTAGGACCACCTTTGCTTGAGTGAGAGTTTCAGTTATCACCCTTGAACCCTTGGATTCTCAGATAAAAAAGGAGTCAACAAACATGTGGTATAGACTGGAAGAATGGGAGCACTCCTTCCAAAGCTCCCTATTGTTCCTAGCAGGCAGCAAGTAACTCATAATTGGCATTTGAAATTCATGAAATATTCAACACTACAAAACGGGGAAATTCTACCTCAGAGTGGTAGTGTCTGCACTCACTGCCTCTGCAGCTTATATCATACCTAGAAGATAATAAAAAATAATCACCATAAATACACAAATCCTATCTTCCCCTTGTCCCTATTAATTACCCAAGTGTGCTGTCACACTTGTACTCTCTGAAATTCAGCCAGTGCTTTCTTACTGCTCTCTCACATTCCTTATAGAAACTGTAAAGTGGGGGAATGAACCGCTGGAACATCTGTTGAAACCTATTTTAAGGCACAGAGAAGAGGGCACCTGAGCGTCTGTCTGGATAAAGGAAACAGCTGAGCAAGATCCATGCCAGGATGCTGGACTCTGGGGAGTCACCCCAGAGGGCAGTGGGGAGACAAGAGTCCCACAGAGCTGGACGTCAGGATGGAAGGAAGAAGTCCGCTTTGGCTGTGCAAGAATTGTTTTCGGTTGAGTGAAAGAATGGTTCAAATTCCATCAGTGGGAGCAGATAGATACTAAACAGATCCCTAACAACAACAGGCTGTGGAGCCTAGCAGGAGAGGCAGCAGCAGGAGGTAAGATACACAACAGGATGGAAAAGCTTGCATCAGGAAGTACTTGGAAAGCTATATTCATTCCAGCATCCAGTGGTAAACAATTCTGGAGCAATCCCACTCTCTTCACCCTTATAACCAAGACCAAAATCTAAACACTTGTCCTAGGATACAGTAGGATTTCTGGGAATGTGCTTGTAACTAACAAACAGCTTTGCCACTGGACTGCCAAAGATGAAATTTTATCCAAAGAATCAGCCATGTTGGTATCTCTGGAAAGAAGTGACAGACTGCAGAAAATGAACCGCTGAGATTTTCAGGATATTTAGATGTTTTGCAAAAGCTGCTAATCCTCACTGGAGCAAGTAGCTAAAAATCACAGCTAGAAACAGATTGATTAGCATG